GGTGCTTCGGCGCCTCCTCCGGCTCAGCTGGCGGCTTGTCCTCTGGTCCTAACACCTGGCCGCCTAAAGGCACCGGCCTAGCCCCTCCTCTCTTTCCCGACCGCACTGCACAAGTGCCGCCTCCTCTCTAGATCTGAGCGCCTCCAGGTGCATCAGAGTCACCTGGGAACTCCTGCATTCGAGGATTCCTGGGCTCTGAAATCAGAATCCTAGAGATTCAGATTCAGTGTCTGGCAGCAGCCAAAGAATCTGCGTGCTTAAAGGTGTTTGTGGCAATCCTGTGGCCTTTGTTTGACCCCTGCCTAGGCACTCAGTATTCGCGTCAGGGTCTTCTTACACAGATGACTCCCAGAGCCACAGAGGTTGGAGGGGTGTGTGTGTGTGTGTGTGGAGAGAGAGAGAATATGTCTATATGTAGGCATGTATATACACATACGTATGCATATACACATATATATGTATGTAAGAGAGACATAGAGACAGAGAGACTGATGGAAAGCCATGTCCTTGAGCAAATGCCAGGATGACACAAAGAGTTTTCTTTGAAATAGTTTTCAGATAATTGCAGTTACCAACAGAGATTTATTTTGTCCTCTAGAAAGTTAGGCCTGAACTCTATTTCTCCCTCCTTCCCCAATCCATTACAATTTGTAGACGAGAATGTCACACACCAACCATATCTTCCACATGCAAAATTGCCGGAGGCATTATGAAACAGTGGGATTTTGTTCCACTCAGATGGAAATATAGCATCTTTGGTTGGAGGGTGAGGGAGCCATGTACTTGGTTGACTACATCTAGGTGCTAGGATTTCTATAGGTAGAACCCTCTGGTGCAGGTCTTGCAGGATGAAGACACCGGGAGGTAGTTCTGTATGAGGACAGCTTTTGCTAGGTGTGTCTCATCTTATGGGCCACGAAGAAACTATGTTTGGCTCATTCTACCAAGACACACACACACAAAACAATCTGAAGGCCTAGTGGTGGCTTTTGAGCACACATCTCCGTTCCTCTTTTCTAAGAAGTGGTGAAACCATATTGCCAGCTGGCTAAGGGAGTCAGTCTGGTCAAAACTCTGGTGTTTGTTTTCCTTGTCGAGTGAGCTCTTGTCTGTCGTAGGATACTGCTGCCTTGCTTTAGGAATCTTGTCTTGAAAACTTGCTTTGCTTAAGCATTTGCTAAGTGTCATACCCCCACAACCCTGTTTCTTTCTCAACTTTCCCAGTGCCTTCCTTTTAATGTAATTTCTGGCTTCTGTTTTTTTTTCCTCTGTGTTTATACTTGTTTTTCTCTAGGTGTCAACAGCCATCTTTTGCTTTTTCCCCACTCAGGTCCTTATTTCAAAAGACTGCTCTAATCCAAAAATTAAATTAAGAAAACAGTTCTATTTACAAGAACATCTAAAAGGGTAAAAGAAACGTGTTTAACTAAGGAAGTGTGAGACTGGTAGATGGAAAACCATAGACCAGTATTGAAGG